CCCCCCCCCTTAAGGGGAGCAAGATTTTGGATGAACAATTCACAGAAATTCCCCAGAAATGAGTAGTGGAGAACAGAGAAAACAAAGCCATAAAGCCCCCACTCTCCTCCAACTCAGGCTCTGGTTTTGAGAGAATTTTGTCAATTCCCTGCTGCTATTCAAATGCCCCCCCCCCCTTAAGGGGAGCAAGATTTTGGATGAACAATTCACAGAAATTCCCCAGAAATGAGTAGTGGAGAACAGAGAAAACAAAGCCATAAAGCCCCCACTCTCCTCCAACTCAGGCTCTGGTTTTGAGAGAATTTTGTAATTTTATGAGAGGTTTGTAAAGATAGAAAGATCAAGTCAAAATTGAAAAGTCTTCTCTATATGTTACCAAAAATATTCTCTATAGGTTACTCTATAGGTTGGGTTATGAGTCAGACCTTCTGTCTACAAATCCATCTAGACTCCTTATTTGCCACTCACCAGTTCCACTAACAAGCATGTGAAATAGATAAGGAGGGTCAGTAGATAAGTAGGGTTAAGAATTTGAGTCTTTCTACATTATGAATATGACTGACATGTCTCTCCACCCACACCCAGGCTTCAAACCCTTCAGTGATTCCCACTGCCCTTCCTTCCTAGTCTTTCCTTCTTTCATCATCTGACCTGTGCTGATTCCTCCAGCTTTTCCCCCTGCCCAGTTCCTGATCCAGCTGTGAAATTCTATACTCACTCTGCTCCCTTGCCTCTAATGCCCTCTTGTCCCATCACTTAGCTACCCCCCCCTCTTGTTTTTCAGTCCCTAGCTCAGAGGTTACTTCACCAGGAACTTCCCCTGACCCTTATGCTGCCCTTCCTGTGTGCTCTCATAGCACCCAGATTACCCCACGTGCCATTTATCCTAATGTATCAGAATTACATCAACTGCCTGTGTCCTCCATGAGACTGTTCAATAAGTACTTGTTGAACAAGTGCACAAAATGATAAGAGAAATCAGAAACATTAGCCAGAATTCCTATATATTGACTTGAGATACATGCTTTGTAGCCAAGCAACCTTTATAAACCTGGTTCAGGTAAAGATACAAGTGGAATTACTTTCTTTGTGGAAGGCAAGCAAAATGAAAAGTGTGGGGGGAAAGCCAGCTATGATAACACTTTGACCACACATCATTCATGACGGGTATAAGCCACACAAGGTGATAAAGAATTGTTTGCCTTTGAGGACACATGTTTTAACACTATCAGGATTCTTGTTTTAACGCTATCAGAATTATAGGCAACCAACCACCCATGCCAGTTAGATAATCCTTACGTTTGTAAAGGCGTCATTCTCAGGCCCTATAATCTAGGTGGGATGTCCTAAGGCAGAGGATCTTACTTAGGGGGGCAGAGGGAGACATAATGAAGAGACCTGGGGACATTTTCAGACTTCATATCTTCTCCCTCTGGAGATTCTTGTCCAACTAGCCCTGTACTTCCCATGACTGCTCTAAACCACCTGAACGGATAAGAAATTATCTACAATTTCAATGTAAAGACATTGTAAAAGCTTCCTTAACAGGAAGGCGGCACAGTTTAGTTAGGAGTAAGGCTCTGCAGGTAGACTCTTCAGGTTCAAATTGCAACTCAGCCTCATACCTGGTAACTCTGGACAAATTAGTTCATGTCTCAAAATTTAGTTTCCACTATAGTCGAATGGGAGTAAAAGAAAATACTTTATAGGGTTGTTGTAAGGAGTAAGTGAAATGATGCATGTAAAGTACTTAGCTCAGTTCCTAGTAAACAATATGTAGTTAATGTAATCTATCTAATACTTAATATTGAAATCTGATCCAACGTTCCCAAACTTTGCAAATCAGTTACTCCTTACAATTTTGTAGCCTCAAAATCATCCACTAAAACTTGAGCCTGTTAGATAGTCTGCATGAGAAAATGAAATCAGTTTTGTCCCATATATTTTACCTTGAAACTCTAAGGAGTCTAATTAAACACCCTCATACATGTTGGTGTTAATTTCTTGGGACTCCTAAGCTTACTGAGTTAGACCAGGCATTGAAAAATACAAGGCTTAAATATAATAATAATAATAATAATAATAATAATAATAATAATATCTTTGCCTATGGATGACTCATCTTATATCTGGAAATTGTATCAAAAACTTTGGCTTTGAGCCCTGGCTCTTCCACTTGGTTACAAAAACTAGGGTGATTGGCTGAATCTCTCTAAGCCTCAGTTTCCTCATCCATAAGGAACCTTACTTTACTTCCCTTACTGGATCAACATAATTTCATGAGAAGATACAAACTATCATCCAATGCTAGTAGAAGTAGGTAACTGGGGTCACCATCCTGAAGCACAGTCTTAGTGGGGTTAAGAATGCACACACTCCCCACCCCATAATCCCTGAGGTAAACACCGCAAGGACTCTCTCCTGAGTCCATAAAGAGGCCCTATGAGCGTGTTTATCACAGGAATGTTTGTGATAGCAGGCAACTGGAAGCTATGCCAGTGTCTGTTACTGGAGGGATATATAAATAAAATGTGTGTATGTGCACAATGAAATACTACACAGCAGTCACAAATAACAAAGTAGATTTATAGATACCAACTTGGGTAGATCCTAGAAACATTGTTAAGTAGGAAAATATAAGCGGGAAGAGTTGTATAGCACAATGTAATTTATGTACATTTAAAAAACAGCCAAAAAACACTATATTTGTCAAGAATACACATATATCTGTTTAAAATGTCATGACATTCCTCTTCTCACAATCTTCCACCAGATTCCATTTCAATTCAGAGTAGCAGCCAAAGTCTGCATTTCCAATGTACTACAAAGTCCTTCTGTTTCTCTCTCTTCCCACTCATTGGTCTCTAGCCACTGGCTTCCTAACCATTCTGGCCTCCTAACATACCAGGCAAGATCCTATCTCAGGGCCTTTATACTTTCTGTTCCCTATAGCCATACTACTTGTAGCACAGATATCTACATGGTTGCTCCCTTCACTGCATTTGGTGAAATAGCACATGTGTAGCACATCTTGCTAATCACCTCATATAAAACTATAATCTGCTTCTAACCATAAAAAACAGACCTCTCCCCCTGCCTTTTTTAAAAGACGTCTCCAGAAGCAAGGGAAACAAAAACAAAAATGAACTACTGGGACCTCATCAAAATAAAAAGCTTCTGCACAGCAAAGGAAACAATCAGCAAAGCTAAAAAGCAATGGATAGAATGGAAGAAGATATTTGCAAATGACATACCAGATGAAGGGTTAGTATCCCAAATCTATAAAGAACTGATCAAACTCAACATCCAAAAACAAATAACCCAGTAAAGAAATGGGCAAAAGACATGAATCGACACTTCTCCAAAGAAGACATCCAGATGACCAACCGACACATGAAAAAATGCTCAACATCATTCATCATCAGGGAAATACAAATAAAAACCACAATGAGATACCACCTCACACCTGTCAGAATGGCTAACATGAACAACTCAGGCAACAACAGATGTTGGCAAAGATGTGGAGAAAGAGGATCTCTTTTGCATTGTTGGTGGCAATGCAAGCTGGTGCATCCACTCTGGAAAACAGTATGGAGGTTCCTCAGAAAAACTAAAAATAGAACTGCCCTACGACCCAGCAATTGCACTACTAGGCATTTATCCATGGGATACAGGTGTGCTATTTG